ATGCTACGGATTCTTTGATGGATTTACTATATATTCTTTTATATGCCTGCTTTTGAGAATGGATGATAAAAATGAATCAAGAAAAATGCATATTCAAATCTTGAATCACACAATTCAGCATGGGAAATGATCAGCTGAACCTCAGAGCACACTTTCTTACGAAAGAGCAAGATCAGTTGCAGGTCAGTCACAACACTAAAGGAATTTACTTTCACGCACAGTAACGGAAATAATTAGAATATACCTGGTTTATGATGCATAGTTGTCTGTATGATGTATTTTTGAGTACTGTAATATGAATGCCAAAAGTGCTAAGGCTTCACAGATTTTGTTTGAAATGTAAAATATAACATAGCCAAACTACACTTCAAAATGATATACCATATGAGCCCATTTTCAGCATATCCTTCCCTCCACCTCCATTTTTGCACCCACATTTAGTTGTTGTTATTAATTTTACATTAATTTTCACAAATAAATAAAAAATAAAAAGGCGAATGACTTACAGCTTATATAAGTTACCAAGGATGTGATTAATGGCCCTCAAAGGCTCAAGGAGAGAGGATGACTCCTATTTTTGTCTGTATTTGTAAGAATACAGGATTTAAATTTATTTTCACTACAGATTTGACCTTCCTGATCCATCACCATCAGGTATTGATTGGGAATGTGCAGGACCAGGGGAGATTAATACTGATCACTCTACTGCCAGCCTCTGTGCTCTCTTCTGGATGCTGGGCTCCCCTCCTACCTGCCAGCCCCCACTTCCAGGCTCCCCTTATGGCCACCGACCCTACTTTCCACTGGCCCTGAACACTCCTGGCTACCAACCCAGTTCTGCTCCAAGCCCATGCTGGGTTCCTGGCTGCTGGCCTGACTCAGTTTCCAGCTCCGGCCCTGGCTAGTCTTACAGCCACCAGCCTTTTTGGTAATATTTCTTGATTATTTTATAGCTAGATACTTGACTGCATTGGTTTTCCTATGGAAATTCCATTGAGAAAGAGGCTCACTACATGGCAACAGAGATTTCCAATCTTTCCTGATTTATTTTGTAACCAGCTATTGGTACATATTTTTCAGTTAATGATAGGAAGGCCAGACTAATGATTTCTGGTATATGCAAAAGGACTTTGTCATCATATAACATCAAGCTATAGATCATGGAAACAAGTTGTGTGCCTCAGATGTCTGAATGAGCCGGAAGAGGTAACGCCAGGGGCTCAAGAACTAAACTGAAAAGCAACAGAGACAGTGGGTACCCTTTCTAATAGCCCAGAAGAGGATGATAGTATCCAAGATCACATTATTGGTTTTGAAACAGGAGTTTGGAAGAGAAAATAATTGTTGGATTCAGAAACTAAACATGAATCCAATTTTTCTGTAGTATACAAAACATATACCTCCAACTCTATCAAAAGAGGTTTTTACAGCAAAGACTAATATGGCTTGTGTTTTTGAGTCATCGTTTCTCAGTGCTATAATCAATAAGTTGTCAAAGGTTATTGGAGCCATGATGGCCTCTGGCAAACCCGCCTTGATTTGGGTGAATGAAAGAGGTTAGAACTTTCTCCAGTTTCATTGCCAGAACTTTTGCCAATATTTTGACATCTCCATTAATAAGTGAAATTGACTTATAGTTGAAATATAGTGTGGCATTTTGTCCTGGTTTAGAAATATCTGATATTAGGGCTTCCCTCAGCATAAGGGGAAGTATGCCCTCTAGGAGTGATTTATTAAAAAGTTTAAGCATCTTGTTAAACAGGAGGGCAAGACAGTGTCCACAGAATTTGGTAGGGAAGTCATTTGGCCTAAGGGATGGCCCCATTTTAATATTCTCAGTTTGCCTCAATTAACTCATTTTCTGTTAGGCACATGTCAAATTTTCTACACTGAGCTACAATAATTTGCAGTAATGTAATATATTAGAAAAATGGATGCAAAGCATCTGTTCAGAGGGTTGTGTCCAGTTGCTACATCTCTTTATAGAAATTAAAGAACTCTTTATTAATACCTTTAGGTGATGTACTTATTGTATCATATTTATCATTGATGGCCGTGATTCTACATGCAGAGCTCTTTTGCCTTAGGTGTTCTGCTAGCAACTTGTCAGCTTTTTCACCTCATTCCCAGAAGTCCTGCCTGAGTTGAAATAAGACAAATTCAGCTTGCGCAAAATGCAGTTTATTGAGGTATAGCTACAATTAATCAGGGATTGCAGCAAACCTGGGGCTGTGGCATAAGACGAATTAAACAGCCACAATTATATACAAATAAAACAAGAACTGTCTGTTGAAATTTACAAAAAATGATCTAGTCCAAGATGATCACCAAGTAATTCCTCCCTATGAATATATAACATGTATTAAATAGGTGTCAAACGACTGTACTTACTGCACCTGCAGTATTAAAAAAAGAACAGTAGACTAGGTGCTCTAGACATGTCAGCTGGTGTTTAAATACAATATTGATAACTGGAAGAGATACAGAGGGATATATAAACAACTTCAGATAGGTTGAAAAAATATGGTTCTGGAGTTCAAAAAAATACATGTGTGCTCTTTTCCAAAACTGAGTTGCATAAATGGTACCTGTTATAGACATAGAAGGGATACATCAATTAAAAGAAAAGACAGATACCAATGGGAAATGTTTGGTCTCTAAAATATTTAAGCAATGACATTTTTTTCATCAATGTTAAACTGTGATGTAAGATTCATTCCAAATTCCAAGTCTGATAAGCACACTACTCACCTAAAAGCTCATAGGGTATGTCTACACTACCCTCCTAGTTCGAACTAGCGGGGTAGTGTAGGCATACCCTTACTCATCTGCCTGCTGCAGTAGCCCAGCAGCTTGCTCAGTAAAGGATAGAGTGGCCACAATAAAATAGCTTTTCTAAACTCAGATGTGCAGTTGCCTTTTCATCACTGATCAGGGCAGGTCCTCTTTCAACATGCTTTTGTATATTACACAACTAATTCATTGCCAGAGTTCTATAGGATCTACACATGCAAAGATCCTCCTCATGAAGAGTGTGTCACATAAGCAGCTTCTAGGACAGAGTCAGGAGACAGAGAAGCCCCCAAAAAGGGCCAGGACATGAGGCAAAGCCAGAGATGATAATAGGCAAACACATGGGAAGAAATGTCAACATCAGTGCCAGGTCCCCCACCCTGGTGCTTCTCCACAATACATAAGCAGCCGCTTGGGGACAGACTAGAAATAGCGAGGGCAGTCACACAGTAAGTAGCTAGATAAAAAATAAACTGAGAACTGTGCCACTAAGCATAGCAGCAGATGACACAATGCCTGAGAGCCACTCAGGGAATGTAAGTGCAGTCAGAGCAGGCTGCTCTACTCAGGCTGCAGGAGATGCTACACGATATAAGGCATCTCCACATACATCATCACAGCAACTGAGCAGCTGGATATTTTGTCAGTGGAAAAACCAAGAACAAGTGAGTAACTCTGATCTCTCGTGTAGTGACAATGCATAGTACATGCAGTGATAGTCTGACGTGTATCAATAAGGGGCCTTTTGGCACATTGCCATGCAATCAATATTCCATTCAGTGCATCGTCCCAGGGTTCCCCAACTATTCCATTCCCCTGGCTCAATATTGTGCCAGGAGACACAGGTACGTGGGTGGTGAATACTTCACCTTCCCCATCACCACCACAACTGATTTAGGCTGAAATCCAACCTGGAACTATGAATTTGGCATGGGCATGCCCACTCAGTAACCACTTTTGCAGATATTTGGCTGTTATCTGACGTTTCTCCCCCAGTATGAGGTTTCATGATGGAAAGGAAAAGCCAGATTTCCAGGAAGTGCCACCTGTCTGCTGAAGGAAGAGGAGAGACAGATTATTACATAAAATGAATTCAATGGGAATGTTACTCTTCAAATTTGTACACCATACATATTAGGAGGCTTCTCCACTTGCCCAAGACGACACTGGACTAGATGTCAATACTTGCAAACAGTGCCACTATACTTGATTTGCTTAATAAACAAGAGTCAGCAGAAGTAGGATATCTGGCTAAAACAACCCAAAATTACAAGTGATCATCACATACATACACAAGCAAAAAAAAAAGTCCTTGCATTGGGGATCACTTCCTCGGTGTGCACATTTTGGTTTATTTTAATCTGTCCTTGTATTCTTAGACAATCTGTAAACAGGGGTTTTATTATTAAATCGATTATTTTCACAGTGACACTAAACATAAAATTTTGGTTTGGATGCTTTTTGCACTCAACACAGTTCCAACAGCCTCTTTTGAATGAGATTCAGACAACTCGCTTATTCTGAAAATACCCTTTCTTAGGAAATACTAACCTTACTGGTCAGTTCACTAAGATACAGACACTTGTCGTAGAAAGCATAAAATATTAATCAGTAGTCTTTAGCAATGTAAATAATCAGCTTGTTTAAACAAGAAAAATAATCATTGAACAGGGATAAGTTACTATGGGAGAAATCCTGGCAAAGGATTTCAGTCTGTATGTTTTATTCTCAGTGCTTGAACTTCTAGTAATAAAGGAGAAACAGCTATATTTTTTCAGTTTATCAATACAATTACAAACATTAACCAGACAAATAATACAGTTTAAACAATGCATTGCTCTCACTTACATTAATAGAACAATTTAAAAAAATACTATCCTAGTTTTACATAGTATTTTTCAGAAATATTTAGTACTGTAAAAGGGAAGGGATTATTGTAATCTACAGACTCCCCATAGTTCAGGGAAATGAATTAATATTTTCAAAGACATTAGATCTTTAACACGTCAATTAAGAACTAAGTCTAAGGAAATTAAAAATAATACAATATTTATCAAGTTAATTCTGCATCCATTCATGCTAGAATGGGTAACAAACTCAGCAATGGTATTTTTCTATAATTTTCATATCATTGTAAACATTGTGTTATTTTTCAGTAAAATATAGGAATCATGTAATATACATGACATTAGCAGTACAGCTGGGTATCTGAAATAGTATGGGTTTTGGTTTTTTGTTTGTTTGTTTTCAATACAAATGTTGAAATAAAAAAATAAAGGATTTTCATAAGATTAGAACTGAATCTAACGAAGAAAAATAATATCTTTATATTCATTTCCATTCAAAAATAGTATATTTCATAGGCAAATAATGGTGACTCCACATGTGTTCAAGCACTTGACAAAATGGAAGCAAATATACATTTTTAAAGTGTTACTTACTTTTTACTTTTGTTTTTGCACTTGGCTTACATAGTTTCATAAAAGTTCAAATAAAATGCTCAGAGTCTTGAATTCCCAAGACTCCTCTTTGAAATGTTCAGTTGATTGGACACTTCTTCATAGTAAACAGCGCTTCTGTGAAATTGAAAGATCTATTTGCTGAGTGGTTCATGTATTAATTTCATTGTACAACATAACCCTTGAGATTTGGAGCATTTAAAAATACCTTTCCTGTTTCTCTTCAGTGCAATTGATTTTCATAGTATATAAATTGAATTGTTTTAACTGTTGACATTATTAGGCTGAAAATCCTAAGTTTATCATCAAAGTATTATGTTATAATAATTAGATCATGTATACCGCTGCCGCTTCTTGTCATCACATTCTTCATGACCAAATAAACTGTCATTATATCTGGACAGAGCCCAAATACATACACATGAGCATCATTCTCCACTTCAATATTTATCCTGAGATTTGTCATACTCCAGACTTCTGTGAACTTTAAAAGGAGTTTTGAGTGCTCATAGAATTCCATAGTGGGCTCTTTCATAGGAAAATAATAACAGAATGTACAAATAAACATAAAGGCCAAATATTTCCAATAGCTTGGGTGACTTAAGAAATTTTCCTTTCTATTAGCTGATCTGTACAAAAGGTGATTCATCTTATACAAAAAGTCAATGAAATTTTTCCATAAGTACTGTATGCAGGTTCAGGATCAGAAATGCAGGTCTGTTAGTTACTCCAGACAGAAAAGAAAAAAACAAAAACCACCACCACAACCCAAAAACAAATAAATCAAAAAGCATTTACCTATTTTTTAGTTATTGTTTAAGCAATTAAAATGTGTAATTTTAGTTGGATTACCTACTTTAACTTGTGGCATAAGTATGTTTGACAGGCAGAGAAAATATGTTCGGCAAAAGTAGGGCAATTGTATCCCTGAGCATAAATTAATTTTCATTTTAGCTGTAGGAAACATGGTTCAAGGAAAATTCCACTTCAAATACAGAAAAATAAAATAATTTTATAGTAACCTCATTTGCAGCTAAGAATTATTATTGTAGTTTTTAAATATCATAAGAGGCTCATTGTCCCAAAAGAAACAATTGATTTAATGCTTTAACAGGATATTTTATACATATTGGTGTTATTTCAGGTAAGAAGATTTGTTAACTGGAAATCCAACTCTGACTATACAGTCCATTTTTAAAGGAGAAATTACTTTGTACAACTGTAATTTAGCTATGCAAAAACTGACAATATAAACTTTAGTTTGCACTGGTAAAATCTTAGATTGTGTTTCAATTCTGTAAAGCTTCAACCCTTCAAATATCTTTTTTTATGTTTAAAGGTTAATTTTCACTCAGGTAACCTAGCTCTCTGTAAACCTTCTCTGTCTGCAAGGGATGGAGAGCGAGACTTTAGCATGACAAATGAGTCTGGTGAATAGTTTTGTAGAATAATAAAAATAAATATGTCAGCTTGTCATTAAAAGAAATAGGTTGTCATTCTTTTTTTATTAGTTCTGCCTGTGACCCAGGGTTACCTACTGTGTATAAATGGGATTGCTAGATAACTTGATTTCCTGTTTCTTTTTGAAAAAAAATTTGGAACTATTGGCTCATTTATAACATTGCTTGTGTTTAAAATTTGGTTGTATATTAATTGTTCTTAATGCTATGATTTCAGATTTTTTATTATATAAAATGGACATTTACCAATAGATTCTGAATTATTTATTATAATAATTTTATGATAACAGTGAAACATAAAAATGAGTTATAGTATTTGAAGTGTCTAATACACTTTATAGCAGAATGGTAAAAATCAACACTGAACATAAGTGACTAATATTAAGGGGGGGGGGGGGAATGCATTAACAATACCAGAAAAGGGTCTGTGGTCACAGCAACCACAAAGTTGCTGGATACATCATAGAATTATATTGAACCCTAATATAAATGTGTCTATAATAACATACAATTTATAGAGACATTGCTACCTTTGTTCCTAAGTAAAGTGTTGAGTAAAAATGGAGCATTGTAATTAAAGTAAAAATTAAAGCAAATTGCTGCTGACAGTAAATTGAAGCAGTATAGTCCCTATATTTTCAAAATATTCCTGGCTCAGACTACTTTATTTAATCATGCTTTCAAATATTTCTGTCATAGACAACTATTGGTTTGATCCACTAGTAGAAGAAATGTATTGATGATTCAATCTTTACAACTGCTCATGGGAGCTAGGAGAAAGCTGATAAATGGAGTCCATTCATTATGATTAATACTTGTTCTAATCCTCACAGAGCAAATGTGGCTCAAGGCAGGAGATACCCTACTCAATTTCTAGTAGAGAGACAAAGAGAAGAATGAGAACAAGCCCTTTACAAAGAAAGTACTGAAAGGTGTTTATTTTTGGAAACTATCTCCCAATCCTGGGACTTCTATCCCTGATGAGAACACTGTGTGAAAAGGCACAATGTAGCTTTCAGGCTGCATCGGTACCATCTAGTGTGTGAGAAGAAGGTAGATTTTGATGCCTGAGTGATCAGATCTTCTTCCAAGTAGTTTGCTAAATTCCCACTGGCTAAGAACAGCAAAGCTGGAAGTGCAATAGATGGAAACTAGAGACCACGATAATTGTACCAAGGCCTGCTGAGATTTTCTTAACTGCTTCCAGTAAAAGAAAAGAGTCCCTTTGTAACAGTGGGAAGTCCCACAAGAAGGACCAAAACACTATGTTCACTCATATATGAATAACACTTATTTTATCACATGAAGTTATAGATCCAGGTACTCTAATAGAAAGAGGAATTTAACAAATACTTCATGAGGCAAAAAACTTTTCATTTATTCACAGAAATAATGTAATTTGTAGCTCTTTTCATATATGCTGTGTTTTTCAAATAGTTAGAATAAGAAAATCTCTGCAACTTTTTATTTTGTATCATAACAAATGTAGAAATGAGTCCTTTAAATGCAATTGAATATTAACCTTTTTTTTCTTTATAATAGTAAGTTTGGGTTTTTTTAAAGATTGTATATAAATAAAAATGTTTGTAAAATCTCTGTTTCACAGATTCCTAGACTCCAAGGCCAAATGGACCATTGTGATTACCTACACTGACCACTGGGTATAACAAAGGCCATAGAACTTCCCACAAAAAATTCCTACATTGTTTTTATAAAAACATCAAATATCGATTTAAAAACTATCAATGGCTGAAGAATAAGCCACACCATTGGCTAATTACCCTAACAGCTGAAGATGTGTGCCTTATTTTTTCCCATCTGAATTTGTCTCGTGTCAGCTTCCAGCCATTGGATCCTGTTACAACTTTCTCTGCCAGACCAAAGAGGTCATTATTAAATAATTGTGGATTATAATCAAATCATCCTTTAAACTTCTCTTTGTTAAACTACATAGATTGAGCTTCTGGCGTCTTTCACTATGTGGCATGTTTTCTAATCCTTTAATCATTCTTGGGGCTTTTCTCTAAATCCTCTCCAGTTTATCAACATCCTTCCTGTACTGTGGGCACCAAAACTGGACACAGTTTTCCAGCAGCAATCACACAAGTGGCTAATACAGAGGTGAAACAATCTGTCTACTCCTATCTGAGAGTCTCCTATTTATCCATTAGCTCTTGGACACAGTGTCATGCTGGGCACTCATATCAAGGCCGTAACAAGGGCAAGGCCAGTGAGACACTTGCCTCCGGTGCATAGCTAAGGGGGTGCAGAAAAGACAGCTACTATGCTGTTTTCACTCGTGCCTCGGGCCACGTCAGCACCCCCGCCCGCGCTGAGGACAGTCTTGCCTCAGGTGCCAAATAAGCTCTGACTCATATTGAGCTGATTTTCCACCACAAGCCCCAAATCCTTGTCAGACATGGCTTCCTACAAGAGAGTCACCCATTGTGTGAGTATGCCTCTAGTCTTTGTTCCTGCATGCATACATTTACATTTAGCCATAATAAAATGCATATTGTTTCTTGTGGCCCACATAACAAATGATCCAGATCACGTTCAATCAGTAACTTATCCTCTACATTGCTTACCATTCTTCCAATTTCTTTTTTTTTTTCAATCTGCACTCTTTATCAGTTACAGTGTTGTATTTTCTTCCAGCCAGCTCTTTTAAAATTCTTGAATTCAAGTTATCTGGACATGCTGATTTTTAAATGCCTAGTCTTTGTTAGGATTCTTTTTGTTCCCAGAAACTCTGATTGTCCTTAACTCTTCTTGCCACAATTTTTTCCTGTGAATCTTTGGATCCCTTGTCAATTTTCTACAATTCCTACAATTAAAATACTTCTGCTGTTAAGACATTTTTAAACATTACTTCAAATCAGTAACTGTATCCAGTTCAAAATAATTATTCCTGATTTGCAATATTGTACATGAGACAATGAGGTCCAATGATTATAGCAAGAAAGTTTAAACTTTTTCAGAATTTCTTTCTTGCTTTAACTCTTAAATGTTATATATAAATATTCCATTATTTTTAAAAAGCTTCTATTAGACAACACTACGGGCCAAAATGTGATCCTTCCCTCTTTGCTTGTTATCTTATAGTGCCACATATAGTGCCACAGAAGTCCGTAGGACTACTTGTATAGTAAAGTACTCCCAGCATGAGGAAGACTATCTGGATGTGTCCCTGATATTTCAAGAATAATCATACTCAACTCATTATGTCAAAGTTAGTTATGATGCTGTCTTTAAGGACATGATTCTACCCTCTGTCATATAAAGTGTTCATAGAAGGTCAGATTCTGAGATCTATACACAGACTGAGGTGCTCTATACACCAAGAGGTCATAGGGGGTATGTCTCCACAACAGAGTTTTGTCGGAAAAACAACCATTTTTCTGACAAAACCTGAGTTACATCCACACTACAATGGCATTTTTCTGAAAGCAAATAGAAAGAATAGAGGGTTTTTTCTGGAATTGGTAATCCTCTTTCTACGAGAAAGTCTTTTTCCAAAAGAGCTCTTTCAGAAAAAGGAGTGTTTGGAGGGGAAGAGGGAGTTCTTTCAAAAGAAGAGGAAAGAGGAAAAAGCGCATATGCCCTAGTGGCCACTCCTCCCATAGTACTTACAGCTTAAATGAGAGATAGAGTCCA